GCGGTGGCGGCGGGGGCCTTCTGCGCCAACTCCCTTGGAAGTGCCTAAGAGGATACGGTTAATCCCACCGCGCTGTGCGGGCGCCTCGTGCGGCGCTAGGCCGGAGGCATCTTTGTGCTCTGATACACACCCTAGCCTTAATAGGCGGGATGCGGGGGGTGGCGGGGGTCACCACAGCGCGCCGGGCGGCGGCGAAGAAAAAGAGAGGATGGTTAGGTGGCAAGTCCTAATAAAATAAAAACAGCCGACCCACATCTCTGTAGCATTCGCCCTTTCTGTGTCTCTGCAAGACCCTCTGAAAGTACTTTTTCCTCCTCGCGTCACGCCGAACCTGTTACTCGGCTCGTCCGCCTAGACGCCGCCATCCTCTCTCTCAGGACGCAAACTTTTTCGCTTTGCCTCAAATAAATGATGAGGCAAGTTGCCGTCGAGCCCGTCCAGGTGCGTTTTGCGTCCGGCGGTGGCGGCCGGGCCCTCCCGGTGGGACCGGCCGCGGCGGCGCGAGTCACTCCGACAAATAGTGCGGCCGCGGCGGCAAACTTTGGCAGCGCGGACGCGGACACTTCAGCGCGAAGTATCCGGGCGGGAAGATGGAAATAATGCAATTTCCCCAACGCACAAAAATCGTAATTTCCTATAGCTTTACCCACAACACTAAACGGCCGTTGTGTTTCAGACTTCAATCGCATACGTCGTGCGTCGCTCCCTTATCGCGTACTGTCCAATATGTCGAGGCAGCTGCCGCTGTACGCCGCCTACCTAGCCGAGTGTGTGATACGTCGGGGTCGTGGGATATGAGCGCGCCACCAGGATATAAGAAGAACAGACGCGTCGGCTGAGCCAAAGGAGCCACAGGTGTCCCGTCTTCTCGTGCGCCCCTCTCGAGGGAGCTCCGCCGCCCGCACCTCTCCCGCCCCTTCGGCCCACACATGAGCGCTCAGGTAAGTGACGGCACAAACATACGGCAGCGCGGCAGGCAGCCAAGCGCTTCTGTCAGGGAAGATTCCAAAGCGCCACGGCTCTGCGCGTGCTCTATAGGAGCGAGCCACACCTCGAACCGAGCAAACTCTCCGGCGATCTCTCGTCTCTCTCTCTCACACACACACACACTGACGCGGACACACCTACGGCAGGTGGGCGGTCGCTTTGATCGCGCGCCGTTTGGCGGATATAGGCGCGCCCCTTTGTCCCAACTGTGGTGGCGGGCAGGCGGTGTGTGTGTGTGTGTGGGTGTGTGTATTGGAAACGGGCTCTCTCCCATTGGCTAGCTAAGTGCTGTCGACTCACCGCTGGCGACGACGCAAAGTATGTGTCCCTCGGAGCTGGACCTCAAGACACTGTAAACCCGATAGTGCACTTACTTTGAACACACAGAGGCACAGTGCACTTAGCTTCAACACACAGAGGGACAATGTGCTTACAAGCACACATATCGAAGTGCGAAGTTACCTTAGCACACACAAGATATCGGATAATTGGCATATAGCACATAGAGGGTAAAGTAAACACTTGTGACATGTAGACACTTATGAATAATGTGTCCAAACCTTCAACACAACATGTGCAATGCTAGCAGTTGAAAACTATGAAGTGTTGAAGAGTTGAACACTTACTTTATTTGCACGCACTTGCTTAAGTGTGCAATCAAGTTAACTCTCCCTTGTGTGTACTAAGTACACTGTTCGGAATTCATTTTTACTTGGGAGTTAATCCGGAATGAGCTGCTGATAACAATTTAAATGCTGGGCCCCATTTTTAAAAAAGGACGTGGGGCGTAGCTGTGTAAGGCTATTTCATTTAGATGTGATATTTCACCGACAAAATCACTTGTTTATTGGGGGAAAAGTAATTGAAACGCCACCTCACAAATCGCCCATTGCGGAAGTATGAAAGTACATTCCGGCTACTGAACTGCCTATACTTAAGGATTGGCAGTAAAATCTGGCCCTGTAAATCCCATTTACTAGAGATGACGGTAAAAAGAAGACGGCCTCATCATTTATTATATGCAGGGGGTGATTGTGAGTTTTTCCTTTAAAGGAATAAATTCATTGTTTTTACGGGAGATTTTTAACGACGGGCGGAAGGATCTCTCTGTTGCGTCTCGGCGCAGAGGGCCACCAGTTCGTAGCTCGATAGGGGGGTGGGCGACGACACACATTTTAATAACAATACACGGTGTCGGAGGGCATGGGGCTGGTCGCGCTCGGGGCGTTAGTCGGGCAGGGAGGGGGCTGGCGCTGTGCGTCAAAGATAACGCCGCCAGCCAGCAAGCACTGTCACGAGGAGAATTTGATGATTACTGCCACGCCTAGCAATCACGGCCGGGAGGATACAGCTCGCAGACATTTGCTCTGTATTCGAGTACCAGCGGCGAATATTTTGTCATGAGTGCACTGGCAGCTCTCGGAAATTGCTCGAGGTCGAAAAAGCATATGCTTTGAAGCAGGTTCCAGCTGCGTTGAATAGCAACTATCGCTGGAAAAAAAAAACAGCGGGCCTTCTGCTCTTCTAAGAATAGGACACGCTGCCTAAATAAAGCAAGAGTATGGCCGCCTGGGAGGTAGGCAGCACGCGAGCACCGGTGCATGGCAGGCCACAGGATTGCCTACCCACAGGGGCTCCACGCTCTGCCACCTCAATGGCGGCTCATAGCAGACAAAAATCGCTACCGTAATTCGAAGATTTAAAATCGCAAACTACTCAAGTTCATTTACTGTTTTGTAAATCCATATACATACCGAAAATTACGAAAACTTTTATTTAACGCAAAGAACTTGCTTTGATCCGCAGTTTTACGGAGACTGAACTCATGGCAACACAAGAATAAACGAACCACTACATGCTGGTGATTTCCGAATCGATACAGCAAATTGATCTCCATGGGATTAAATTACATATTGAATTATCTAATTGAGAAACACACCTCATGTTTTCCAAAGAAAACGCTCACTCTTTTTTTCCAATTCCTTAAACGACGAAGGAAAGACATCTCACCGTGACGACGCCCTAAGACTCCCTAAGGCGCCCTATATACCCCTATTCCGAGCTGATTGCTTAACTCATCACACCAATACTTTCAAGCATAAAACCTTCGCATAAAACATGTCTTCGTATGTTTTTGTCGTCATAAGAATGAAAGTGCGACGCCCTGAGAGGGGGGCCACAATGAGGCAGCGGGATGGCCTTGTCGAGGGCGAAGGGCTGCTGCCGCTGGCAGTCCATTGTGAGTGTTGAGCTGTCCGCCGGGCTGGCAGATAGGCGAGGCCACCGCTGCGCGACGAGCTGCGCGACGCTCCTCAGTGGCCCCTTGATTTAATTGAATTGCTTTTGCTGGCGGCGCCGCGTGGTGGGCCGGTAACCCCCCGCCCCCTGTTTCCCCCAAAAACCTCCTGGAGAGGGGACGACGAGACGTCTGTAAGTTACGTCACCGTCATTAGGACAAGTCTTACACTACTATTACTGGCACTCCGAAGCGACTTTATACGGGGGAACTGAGAACATTGGCTGGTCCCAATCCAAATACCTCACCCAGAAGACCGTTTAGTCCATATAACCAAATTCAAAACCGACGAAATTTTAGCTCTTGGGACTAAAATTTTATTCGTGGCGATGAAATAATTTGGTCTAGATGACTTGATTTGATTGGTGCGACTATATTTAGTTAAAAATAGGGTTACTAAATTTTAGTCGGTTTTAGGAACTAAATTTTGGTTCTTACAACCCTGATTTAGTTGTATCAACTAAATGGTTCTCTGGGTGCTCGCGTATTTTAAACCCCATAAAGATACAAATCATTCTCATATTCGGCGTTTGAGTACCACGAAGGAACCAACATCCCGGATCTGGAATTCCTGGACACCCTAAGAAAAGTGCTGCATCAAACATATTTTTTTTTCCTGTGAACCCTCCTGAGAGAGGAAGGAAGGGAAAGAAAGAGACGAAAGAGAGAGAGAGAAGGGTATAGAGTCATTCATACACACACGGGGCGTGAATAACAAGAAAGGAGGCGTGACGGTGATGAAGAGAAAGAGGCGACGCGCGGAGAGGGGGCCAGGCCGCACCGCCGCCACCGGGACGCCCCGGGACGCCCACATCCAGGATATGAGGGGAATATTTTTTTGATTCAACGGGGCTTGGTCCCCTCCAACCCTTCACCCGGACCCCTCGAGTCGGGCCGGCGGGGCACGCACTGGGGAGGAGGGGGAACGACGCCATGAAACACTTCTTGAGCCGCGCACACGACGGGGTCCTCCGCTCCTGATGTCCTCACCTCTGGCCCCGCCGCGCCAGCCGCGCCACCCGCCCTGCCACCTGTGGCACCACGCACAGCGGCGCTAGTGGAGCTTGCAGCGTACCCAGGGTGGGCAGTGTCCTCGACGGGAATATGATGTGTGCACGGATGTCCAATCATTTGCTTATTGGCACGGCGTACACTTTACAACGCGGCTTGGCGCGTCGGCAGTGCCCCTGAATATAGCCGGGGATTCTCGTTTGCCTTTCATCCACAATTTGAGAGCAAATTTCTGACATAGCCAATGGCTCGTTCGATAGCGCATGCAGTTGCCGCCGAAATAAGTGACGGACGAGCGACTCCAAAACTGATCCGACTTACCGTCGCAGGAGCGGCACGAGTGGTGGCAGCGCGTGCAGCCGTACTGCGTCTGGAAGTGGCCCTGCGGGCAGTCCGGGTGGCAGGCGCCGCCCAGCAGCTGCCAGCCGCGCGGGCACGACACGCACTCGTCCTTGCGCGGGCCCACGCACGTGGCGCAGCTCAGGTAGCACGCCGAGCACACGCCGCCGTCCGAGTAGTACCTAGACAACAAAAATATAAATATATCTTATTACCAAAATCATCAAGATATTATTTTTTCCAAAAAAACAACATCAAAACATCAGCATAATTTTTTCAAAAGAATGTTTATTAGTTTTTAAAAGGGTGCACAGATCAATTTAAATACGCGTGTTAAAGGTATAACGACACTTTTATTGCAATAAATGAGTGCTCCAGGCGGGGGGCATTGCGCGAGGCACAAGCGGTGGGAGGCAGGGTGGGGAGGAGCGAACAATAAAGAGGCTGCTCGTGGATTTATCGGGCCGCGTGCGATGTTTATTGCCCGGCCCTATACCCACTACCTGACCCCCGCCACGCCGCGCCACGCCGCCGCGGGGCTCGACAAAAGCTTCCCCAAATCTTGTAGTCTGGCCGCGAATAAAAGGGCCCCGGCCTTACACGCGCCCCTTG